TTGAAAGTGGCTCCGAGATCTTCAACAAATTTTCGAAAACTTCAGGAAACTTTCGAGAGCTTCTGGACATCAATAGAAGGCGGGAACAGTTTGAGACAAGTTCCATAAACTTCAGATCAATTTCGAAAATTAAGACTTTAGCAAAGATCAGAGAACTTCAAGGCAGTTCCATTAGTTTCAGACAACTGCAAAAACATTTAAGACGCTTCGAGACCTTCACTTCAGGGTAGATCAAACAGCTCCTGATAAGTTTAGAGGAATTTAGGGCAATCGACTTAACATTAGAGAAGTTTAGAGTACTCTGGGGGAAGATCAGATAACTTTAAAGCAGTTTCATTAATTTAAAGAAGTTGTAGAAAGTTCCAAGGAACTATCCAAAATCCCGATCACTTCAGAGATGTTCCGAAAACTGGAAAATTGCATGATGTTCAGGGAAGTCTCACAAATTCCAGGATGATTGCCGGGACATTAGGCAAGCATCCAAAAACTCCAGGGTAGCCCAGAGAAGTTCAGGGAAGTCCAGATCCTTGAGGTATTTACAATAACTTCAGGGAACCTCCGATTTTTTTTTCGAAAGTCTATATTTTCAGGGTTGTTTAAAGATTTTGAAAAATTTGTTCCTATAAATTCAGGGCAGTTCCATGAACTTCAATAAAATTAATGGAACTTCAGTGACAATCTTGGATCGGCGTAAATTATTTGAATTTAGATTTTTAGGTAAAATTTACCTTTGAGAAGTTCTGATAATTTCAGGGAAGTCCATTGAACTCCAAAGAAGATAAGATAACATCACAAAAAATTAAAGAGCTTCACAGAAGTTCCGAGAATTCCGGAAAAATTACGGGAGCTACAGATAAGTTTCGAGTATTCTAGAAAAATAACAGGAACGTCATAGAAGGTTAGGAAAATCCAGTGTGCCGTTTAATTTAATCTTATTATTCTCAGACGGATCAACTCTGGGAGAAAGGGAATGCAGAAATATGATGACCTGAGTGTTCACCAGGTTTATACGGATCTTCCAGCTGTTGAAATAATCAGACAGGACATCCAGGCCTCTCTGAAGTTTGGCGGTCAGAGCTTCGATGATCCTAGATGATGGATGTGTCATCTGCGAACAGGGACAACGATCCACCATCAGGGAGAGCCGGCATATCGGAGGTAAACAGGTTGAACAAGATGAGTCCATGGATGCTTCCTTGTGGAAAACCCGCACCGATGTTCAAGGCATTCGATGTGATTCCATTCAGAGAGATTCGGTATTTCCTGTCCGAGAGATAGATATGATCTTCACAAGGAAGATTGGAAGACCGTATCTCTGCAATGTGTAGACCAGGCCATCCTGCCAGACATTATAGAACAACGTCCAACAATGCCATGGCAGATGTTTTGGATACAGACTTGTTCCGTCTGAGAATGTTTGTCACCCGAGTCAGCTGGTGAACAGTCGAGCGACCTTTACGGAAGCCAAACTGTTCTTCGAGCAATAAGTTGTGTTCATCGGCAGATGCTAGGAGCCGGTGGTAGACTGCCCTTTCGAACAGCTTAGATAACCCCAAGAGAAGGCTGATGGGTCGATCACTTGAAGGAGAGGACGGATCTTTCCCAGGCTTCCGGATGGGGATGACTTTAGCTGACTTCCAGCACGAGGGGAGTAGCCAAGTCTAAGGCACTGACTAAAAATCAGTTACAGTTGGTTGAAGAATCTGGACAGATTCAGAATTTGGTCGAAACCTGGGGCCTTCATGGTTTTAGATGACCAGCAGTTCGTCAGCCGCAATCTCGGATTACACAGGGAAATTGTTGGGAATTTGCTGGAGGTTAGCTGCATTTTCAGCAACCTCAGTATCGTATGGACTTGTCATGTTCAGTCCGAGATTATGAGAGCTAGCGAAGTGTTGACCTATAGCATCAGCCTTCGCTTCAGAGGTTATCAGATTGGCGACTGAATCATTGAGTTGATTCAACGGTACAAATGGTGGAATGGGCCTTGGCTTATTTTTAAGGATTTTTGTTAGTTTCCAGAAGGGCTTTGCACAATCTGGGAGAGAGCGGGTGAATGATCTTTGTTAATCGATTACAATTGGTCTTCAAGTTAGGCAGACCAGAACGCTGGTACTTCTTACGCAATGGTGTTACGGAGCCTAATGAGATCTTTGGTAGGGCTGTCAAGATTCAGAGTGTTATTCACCTGTCTGGATACTGGCACGTGTTGTTCCCTGGCCAGGGATATTGCCTCCTCGATAGATTGAAGACACCGGTCAACGTCTTCGGACATCGTAGTCGATGGTTGTGTCGACGCAGTGTCGATGGTTGTGTCGACGCAGGGAAGCTTCGAATCGGTTCACCAAGGAACCAACCTCGGCCACCACCCGATACTCAACCGGGTGGGAGTGTCCGGACTCAAGATGTTGTACTGCGGTTCCTGGATTTTGCGCCTGTTTGGCGTTCAGGTCGCCAGCGATGATGAATTTTTCCCGCCGTCGTGTTAGCTTGACAATATCTCTTCGCAGGTCTGCTGCCGACCCATACCTGATGTTGACTTGTTTGGGGCAGCATGCCGCAACGATGGTGGTGGGGTCGACAGGAGTAGGAACTTCCACCCCTACGACTTCGACCATCTTCAGCTGGAAGCTCGGCAGCAGCCGACAGACCCCTCCTCCCCCGGAGCTGGTTCGATCTAGCCTCACAAGCCGGAAATCGGTGATGATGGATATATCGAGGAATTCAACGAACTCTATGCTCTTGCTCCTGAGCGAGCAAGCGTTCCAATTGGCAATTTTGATGGCTGCACGGTCCATACTTATTGATGAGGGATATGGCAGAATGAAGCTGTTCTGTTAGAATTCTGCAGGTGCGCTGGATCATGATGACTTCCGTCACGAGTGTAGCAAATTACGCCGTTGTAAGCAGAGTGTCTGCATTCTCGATCGTTGATGAAGGAAGAGTCCCTTCATGCTGCCACAATAGCTCCGGAGGTGGCTTCGGGATGCAGCGGTTGCCGCATATGACTGACGACTTGAGTTTACCGGAGTGTTATGCACCGCAGTTGTTTGCGTTTCATGCCCGAGCCTTCTTCCGACCTGGTTGGTTTTGCGTGGAGGCCCTTTTGCGGATATCCATGAATTCCGCACGTTTTGGACAAGACTTGCTGGTAGCCCGATGAGCTGCACTACAATTGGCGCATTGTGGATCGGCGTCCTCCATGCTCTCGCATGCTTCGGGTGCATGTTATTTGCCACAATCGTTGCAACGATGAGCCACGGGCAGTTTGAACATTAGATAACGTTACGGTGGCGAGGTTAATTACGTTCTCAACTAACTAAGATGTGGAAAAGGGCCCGAATGCACGGAAGGTCATTTAGACACGTTGAGTTTCGCTCGAGGTGGATCAAATACAGCTGGTCACAGTACTTACGGGAGCTGTCGTGCCAGATTAATTTTGAAGACTTGGTTCGACTTCAGACCGTTCACCTTCAGTTCCTCCGACAGCGGCTTCCATGTCGGGCAGACCTTGCCGGACCACCTTGAGCGCCTCGATATCGTTGGAGAAATACTGTTCAACGGCCTTGTAGTGTTTCTTTGCTGGAACCGTAAGCTTGATACCTTGATGGTGCACTTCAATCCCTTCCCAATGTAGAACTCAATGCTCTCCCGAAGCCCGGACGAAGACTGGAAATACTTTCTCCTTCTTTTCAATTACCAGCTCTTCGTCATTTCCTAGAATGGCGCACCGGTTGTTCGAAAGCAACTTTTTTGATGATGACTGAGCGTTGGTGGTTTCCTGTCGGGGACGCTTCCCGGACGAGCCTGCAACCGCATCATCACGCAGCGGCTTTCCCGTGCTGGGATCGAACGATGTTTTGCTTAACACCGCGAAAAATAAAGCACGAACATTATCACAACGGACTAGCACAAAAACACTTGAGAAAGAGAGAGAGAGAACGAAACCGGACCGCACTGCTTGACGGTTAAGCAGAGATGCTCCAGCTATTTGCTATTGTATGCACATTGTATATTTGTTCATCGGATGAATTTACGTTAGTGTTTTGGTATCTGTAGTTGAAGTCCGTGTTGGGGATTTGCTATGGGCTAAGTCAATCGACATTCCAAAGTAATGGCATGCAAACAAGTTCGATAGATTTAGCAATAGATTACTATTTATAGCCACGGTGCTTTCCATTCATTTTGGCAAAAAAAAAATGCTTTATGAAATTATGGAATAATCAGATATTATGATAATATTTTGTTTGGGAAAGCAACAAGAAAAGATTGTGAAGTTTGTGCTTGACACATAATAGCTGCCAATTTTGCTACATGAGAGTCGCAATAAGCGATTTTGCCATTTATCTCACCCACTCTTCGCTCATTGTGACTCTGCCAAAGCTAAATTTGCAGGTTGTATGTGTTAAACACAAACTTTACAACCTTTTCTTGTTAATTACACATACAAAATATCATCAGAATATCTTACTATTCCATAATTCCATAAAACATTTTTTTAGCCAAAATGAATGGAAGGCACCCTGTTTATAACCAAAAACAATGTTAACGCCAAACAAATCTTACATCAAATCTGATTCAAATGACAGATTAAAATTGTAAATCCATCCATAATTGGATAAGTTATTAGCATTTAAAGTCTGACCTCTTTTCGTTACATTTCCCTGGAATGGCAGCCTTCTCGAAAGTAGTAGTACAACGTCGAAAAAAAATGGGCAGAACAGTAAATCTGAGTAGCCAGACGGTGCTAGTGTGCATATTGATGACTTCTGTTCTCCTTTAAATTGAAATTATCCCAAGATAGAAGATCGCTGTTAATATCGGCTTAGATCAACGGACAGAACAATTCAATTCAAAATTCACCCATTAGACTGAGCTAGTGTTCAACTTGATATTTTGAACTTTGATTTAAAACTTTAATTAGTGTAATCGGGGTATTGACTATATAGTAAGCTGCATGGAAGAAGAATTTCGCAGTTCAAAATCGCCGAAACACCTACCTGTAGTGACTTTGTTTGATCGGTGACGTGATGATAGTGATACGGGTCTGCTGGAGATCTCAGTGGCACACACTCCATACCAGGGTGCGAACCCAGTGTGCACAAGTCACTCTGAAATGGAGAGAAGGGAATAAACAAGACTCAAGTTAGAACCTTCCGCAGACTGCCTAATGGTAAGTAAAATAATTATAAGGTAGCGACATCAGTTCCCTTCAAGGACAGATCGGAACAAATGAAATGACTCATTCCACGCCGCGAATCGATCTTATCTCGGCTGCACAAAGACTTATGTTTGCTTACTCGACTGAAACGGTTTCCTCCTCCATTATGCGCGCTAATGCAAACAATCTCCCGCAAAAGTAAACAATGCCTTCCTGTACCAGCAGCGGCGCGGCGGCTCGTCCGAGATTAGGGCAAAGAGCCGTTTTCCCCAACAAGAACAACAACAACAACCGGATTGGAAGATGCAACTTGTGCAATTTGAATCTGGCCCTGGCGGCCTTGTTTCGGCTCCGCTCCGCAAAATGATGCGTTCCGTTTCTGACGGTATTAAGTGGATCGTTCGGAGTGATTGTTATGACGAATGACGATGACGATGGAGGTCGGATCTTTGCTGTGTATGCAGAAATAAATATGTGTCAGGGGGAAGTACAATTGAGTGGAAAATTGGATCGCCTGGATATTGGCGATCTAGATTGTGCACCGTTTGGTCCCGTCGTTTCCAATGATTCGATCAGAAGTGGGTTTTAGATGTGTAGTCTATTTGAGGGTGAGATGGTGAGATTAGAAATACGTACAAATATGTAAACAAGGGGATGACACATTCGCTATAAAATTAGTTCGGTCAGTTCTACCTTTAAGCGGTAGATGGCGAGGTTGTGCCTGTCTGTTAGCATTTGTATAGGAAGCTGTCCGCGGTAGCAATCTGTCTAGGAATTCTGATCGACACGCGCGTACGGCGGCTACCTATTTCTTACATGCAACAATGGAATCATTTGAAAGCACATCCCATTCCCTCGGGCTTTTGAATGCTTCATCTACTGTTAAGAGTCAGAAACCGCTTGTTTCGGTTTGTTTATTTTGCTTAAGCACTTTGTAGAACCCACCGTCGTCGTCGCCGCCACTGGCAACCAGTGGCATTTTGCTCAGCTGTCAAATCACGCCATCTATATGGGCAGCGCTTGCGGACTTGTGTGGGGCGGCGATGTTTGACAGCTGCAAAAATGATGCAATTCGTATGTCAGAGGGAGCGCGGGAAGGTGAAAAAAATGGGTAGCTGTAAATGGAGGAAACATTTCAATTCTTCCATTGAATTACCCCAAGTGGAACTCTTTCTTGTGCACGTGCCCAAAGCCTTTTATGCTTTAGGACCGAGGGGGGGGGGGGGGGGGGAACAGGGGAGTGACATAATCTTCTATGCCTTCTCGACGACGACGACAAAGTCGCTCTCGCGCGTTGCTAATGGAAAAGAAAGTTTTGCACAATTTTTATATGAAGCGCTACAGTTTTTGTTTTGCCTCCGTCGCTTTCTGTCGCAATTGTTGTCTTTTTCTATACGTCGCATTACTTTGTTTTGTCAATTGACACAAAACCCCCGGCACAGAGCCACAATCTGTCAGGCTCTCTTCTTGCTGGCCATTTACGGCTGTGGTTAGATGAATCGACATTGTTTCACTTTTTATCCACATGGCCTACTGCCCGAGGGCCCAATGAAAGGGAAAGGAGGAAGAACCCGAATGTAGTGACGTCACCGGCCGAGTCCGATCCATTCCGGCTGTCAAAGCGAAAACAAAAAATGTTTCCCATCAAGATTTTCCTGCCCCCGGATCGATTGGCAATCGAACTGATTTTAATCCACACCACCCGATCCGCTCGGAACCCACGCTCGCTTCTCTATTTTATGGAACTTCCCGCTTCGATCAACCTATCTACTCTCTCATAAATGGTAGAAAATTTCACTTTTTCCTCGGAGCTGGTTCGTTTAGTATGCTTTTAGCTGGAAACATATTGTTTTAATCAGATTAGCCGTCATTGGCGGTGGACTGCCGGAGGTGGTTTGCTGTCATCGGCGACGACGACGGTAAAGTCCATTACGTGGTGGATCGATTAGTCGGCGCGGTTCAGCTGCCAGAGGTCCGGACCGGACCTCCGGAACTGAATAACCGCGGCTAATAAATTAATCGATCCGGTGCACGATTTGGAAATTTGCATCGGTAAGGCGATTTTACAAAAAAAAAAAACAATTTGACGTTTATCTGATACGTTATTTCAAAGCTACCCAAATTTGGATAGAATTCACCCAGATCGGTCAAAACTGAACCTACCCAAAAATGGGTAAACTGTGTTGGGAGTGACAAGTTGACAAATGAACAAAGTCGATCGGATTCATGTTGATATTGTCCATTTCAAGCTGAACATTGCATAAGGTCCAAAGTAACATCAATCGATTCTCTTCGTCGACTTTCTCTTTCGTTAATAACTTGAGCACATAACCGTTTCTTGCTGTGTTTATCGTATTAGATGCTAGATAAAAGCTTCTTTTATCGATCTGTGTGCTGAAAATAGCTAAGATTATCATTCCATGGCCGTGGGGATACAAAGAGAAAGTCGACAAAGATAATCTTTAAATGTTACTTAGGACCTAATGCAATGTTTAGCTTGATTTCTATCTATTGAATTCTCCCAGAGGTTTCCTTCGTCTTACTCTGGAAAATTGTCCATAAGTTTTCTCTGGAGATTTTTTCCAATTTCTATTGACAAGTTTTCCGAGTCGGAACTACTTCTGACTTCCCCTGGAAATGGCTACTCCTGGACATTTTATCCGATTTCTGAAGCCTTGCTGGCTTCCTCTGGATGTGTCATCCGATGTTTTCCAAAAGTTTCTCAATATTTCTTTTGGAAGTTCCCCGAGTCTTTTTCCAACTCTTCTTAGAACTTTCTTCAAACTTTCTCCAGAAGAGCTTCATTCGTTACTCTCTGGAAGTTTTGTCGGCTTCCTTCGGACATTCCTTAGAAATTCATTCCGACTAAATTTTCCGTTCTTAATCCAAAAGTTTTAATTTTCGCCTTCAAACACGAAAAAACTTAAAAACTAGCTAAAGCAGTAATTACCGATGTTTCAAAACAATTGATACTGATAAAATGATCCAAAAATGATATAGTTACAAATTCTTAGATTTGAGTTGATTTAAAATCCTGCATCACGTTCTAAATTGTGATCCAAATATTGCATGATTTCAATCGGGTTTCGTCTTGATCCATTTGCTTTTGAGGTGCAGCCAACATTGCCAGAGATGTGACCATTTTTCAGTGCTCTGGGGCCTCCTAGTGGCAGTCGAAACGAAGCATTTTTTGTATGAACGCTTGTATGAAAAAGTCTGTAGTTTCGACTTCCAAAATGCGGCCCATTATCACCTTACACTTCGTCACGCACGCATACGACGGGCATACCAGACGTTTCAATCGCAGATTCCGACAAATGTTCCCACAGGTTCTCGACAAGGCGCTCCCGACGATGGTTCCAGAAGCAGATTCCAGAGTTGCCCAACGAAGAACGTTTCCGATGGAGATCTGACAAAAATACTAATCGATGATTCCGGATGTTCTTTACGAAGATTCCAAGTGTTCTCGATGTAGGCTCCAGAAGTTCCCGGCGGATATTCCAAACGTTCCCGTCGAAGATTCTGCAGATGATTTCAGACGACCCCAACGCAGATTCTAAACATTCTCGACGGAGCCAAAGATGATTCTAGAAGTTCCTGAAGATGACTTCAGACGCTTCAGATGGACACTGCAGGCGTTACGGGGATTTCACATGTTTTTGACAGAGATACCAGCCGTTGTCAAAGATGATTTCAGGCGTTTCTGATGCGACGGAGGTTCCAAACGTGTCGGAAGATGATTCCTAACGTTTCTGAAGATTACTCCAGACATTTACGGTGGAGGTTTCAAATATTCCCGGCGATGATTTCACACGTTCCAGACGGATTCCACACGTTTTCGACGGATTATTACAGACGTTCCCGACTTGGATTCCAATAATTACTGATTCTAGATGAAGTCCCAGACGTTCCCGAAGTATAATCAGATGCTTCAGGCAGATAGTCCAGACTTCCCCATCGAAAATTCCACACGTTTTCGATGGAGATTCCAACCGCAACCAAAAATGAATCAAGACTTTCCTGGTACGAGATTCCAGACGTTCCCGAAGACGATTTAAACCGGTCTCGACGGAGGTTTCAGGCGTTGAAAAATGATCCCAAAAGTTCCCAAAGATGATTGCAGACGCTCCAGACGTTCCCGACGGAGATTTCACGCTTTCACTGAAGATGATTCCAGCTGTTCCTGACGTGAGATGCCAGACGATTCCAAGGTATAATCCAGACGTTCCCAAAGATGATTACAAACGTTCTGGACGGATGTTCCAAACGATCCCAAAGATGATTCCAGCCATTCCTGATGCGAGATTCCAGACGGTTGCAACGAATGATCCAGTCGTAGCCAAAAAGAGATATTTTCACATCCTCCAGACAGAGACTTCAGACGCTCCCAGCGTAGATTCCACACTGACGCGAAATTCCTAACGTTCCCAAAGCCGATTCTCGACGTTCTGGATGGAGGTTCCAGGCTTTATCAAAGATGATTTCAGATGTTCCCGACTTGGATTCCACACGTTCTTGACTTATATTCAAAACGCTTCAGCCTGAAGTTCTACACGTTCCCGAAGATGATTCCAGATCAGAATTGTTAATGACGTTCTGATTTAACGTTTTCGATGGGAATTTGTAATGCAAACGTTAGCGTTTCTTGATATTCTGGACGGAGATTCCAGGCTTTATCAAAGATGATTTTAGACGTTGCCGAAGATGATTGCAGATGTTCCCGACTTGAATTCCAACCGAATAATCCAGACGTTCCCGAAGATGACTCCAGACGTTCTGGACGGAGGTTCCAAACGATCCCAAAGATGATTCCAGCCATTCCTGACGCAAGATTCCAGGCGTTTGCAACGAATGATCCAGTCGTACCCAAAAAGAGATATTTTCACATCCTCCAGACAGAGATTCCAGACATTCCCAGAGGAGATTCCACACTGACGCGAAATTCCCTAC